CCGACTATTTCTTCACTTGAAACGACATCAAATTGTTCTCATCCTAACTCGAGTTAAACAGTATCTCCTATCTCATCATATTACAATTCCTGAAAGCTTAGAAGACGACAAACCATCAACGTTGTAAAGAAATATCAAAGCTATATGAAACCTAATATGACAATGAATATCTTTCCACGAAGGACTTACCATTAGCACTCATGATGATTATTTTTTTATGATATATGTTTTTCTTACACGGTCTAAGTCTTTGTATCTACAAGATCACAAGTTACACTGATCACGTGTATAGGGATAGTGTTATAAACATTGGTCAAAGCAGGCAGGTGTTAGTCAAATCGAGAACTATATGCTCCAACGTTGCCTGCTTAACATGGCGAGTTGCCTTCAAGCAGTCTCATTTGACTGTTTGGTTATATATAGGACTAGTATCTGTGTCCATAGTTATCTTGCCAAAAAGAATTTATGCTTGTGTTTTCAACGTGTACAAGACGAGGTTGGAAATTAAATGGACACTCTAAATACAATAACTGGCATCTCCCTCTGTCACAACCACAACCAGTTCTCCGTCAGTTTGTGTTTCAGATTCATTTGACATTTTCACTCTTATTTCAAGGGACAAGTTCGTTATACCACACGTTTTTAAGATCGAGGGAACTTCATAGACTCGCTGCGTAATTATATTCACGTCGCACTACTAGCAAAGACATCGGAGAACAGTTTGGTTCCACGCGTACGTGTACTTGACAGCACCACTGGGCATGCGCCGCTAGACTGAAGTGTGGGACCGATTGGAGTTCTCAATTCCCTCAACTTCGCTATATCCTCCTCCTCCTCCTCCTCCTCCTCCTCCTCCTCCTCCTCCTCCTCCTCCTCCTCTTCCTCTTCCTATTCCTATACCTCCTCCTCCTCCTCTTCCTCCTCATTGTCTCTCTCCTCCTCTTTCTCTCTCCCCACCTCCCTCCCTTTCTTTCTCCTCTTCATTTTCTCTCTTCCTCCTCCCTTTTCCTTATTTTCCTCCTCCTCCTCCTCCTGTTCTTGCTACTCCTCCTCTTTCTCCTTCATCCACCTTCCTCCCCCTTCCTTTTCCTCCCTCTTTTCCTTTTTCTCCCTTCACCTACTCCTCCTTTTGTCTCTCCTATTCTTTCTCTGTTTTATTCTTTCTCCTCCTCCTTTTCTTTCTCTTCTTATTCTTCCTCCTCCTCTTTCTCTTCCTTTTCTCCCTCCACTTCTTCCACCTCTTTTTCTTCTCTTCCTCCTCCTCCTCCTTTCGTCTTTTGCTTTTTCTCCCCCTCCTCCCTTTCTTCCTCCTTCCTTCTTTTTCTCCTCCTTCTCATCATTCTTCTCTTTCTCCTCCTCCTTACTTCCTCCTTCCATCTTCCCTCTTTCCACATTCATCCGGCTCCTCCATATTCTCCTCCTAAGCCTCCTTCTCCTCGTATTCCTCTCTCTCCTTCTCTCCCTTCTTTGTTATTATTATTTCTATCTATTTATTTATTATCATTTTTTAAATCACTCTTCCTGCTTCGCTGCTCTTCTTTCTCTGTGCATCATTATTATCATCCTCTACCTCCTTCCTCCTCTCATCTCCTTTCCTCCTAACTCCTCCTTTTCGCTTCCTCAACTCTTCCCCCATCTCCCTCCCAATGCATCTCCCTTCTCTCCCTCCTCCCATCCTCCTCCCTCCCCTTCCCTCCGTTCCTCCCCTCCCATCCTTCCCTCTCTCTTCCCTCTCCGTTCCTCCCCTCCCTCCTTCCTCTCTCCCCTTACTCTCTCTTCCCTCCCTCCCCTCTCTCTTCCTCCCTCCCTCTCTCTCCTCCTCCTCCTCTCCCTCCGTCTTCCCTCCTCCTTTCCCTCCCTCCTCCACCTCCTCTTCCTCCCCTCCTTCTCTCCTCTTCCCTCGCTTCCTCCCCTCTCCTCCCTCCCTCCCTCCCTCTCTCTTCCTTCCTCCCTCTCTCTCTCCTCTCTCTCTCTCCCCTCCCTATTCTCCCCTCTCCTTCCCTCCCTCTCTCTCTCCGTTCCTCCCTCTCCCCACCTCCCACAGCTCCTTAATCCTCTCTCTCTCTCCTCCTATCCTCTCCTCTCTCTTCCTCCTCCTCCCTCTCTCTTCCCTCTTCACCTGGAAATCCTTCTCATCTCTCCCTCTACCTATCCTGTTCTGTTCACTGGACAATCCTTTCATGTTCTAAATCCGTCGTTTGTGCAGTTATATGTATATCAGACGTCTAGTTTCTTCATGGATGGGTCCTTTGTTTTGCCTGCATGAGGTTTCTCTCTGACTGTCTTTGTCTGTCTTTTTTTGTTGTTGTTTCTTTCTTGTTCTGTCTGTTTGTCCTTCAGACTTTGGCTCTTTCTCAGTCTGCTACTATGCATCTCCTTCTTTGCTCTCTCTTCTCCTCTATCTATCTATCTATCTCTCCCTCTCTCTCTCTTCTCTCTCTATCTATCTGTCTCTCCTCTCTCTCTCTCTCTCTATCTAGCTATCTATCTCTATCTCTATCCATCCATCCACCATCTCTATCTATATCTATCTCTATCATCTATCTCTCCATCTATCTATCTCTCTATCTCTCTACATGTCTATTATATGTCACCCTCTTGCCCTCCCCTCTGCTTCTCCCTCGCATTTAATTCAATCGCGACCGTCTCGTATCGGGTGTTGATGGGTCCAGTCCTCTAGGGTTTCGAAGGCTCAGAAGAGTCTAGAGCAGATTGACCCGCTGGGAGAACCTGATACCCTGGCGTCGCGAGCCTAGAGGAGGGGGGGGGAGGGGAGAAGGGGGCTATAGAAGCGCCCGTGTGAGCGTGTGGCTGCGAATATAGACAGGGAAGGTATATATATATATATATATATATATATATATATATATATATATATATATATATATATATATATATATAGGAGTCGACGTAGAAGGACTAAAGGAGGGGGGGGGGGAGAAGGGGCTATAGAAGCGCCGTGAGTGTGTGTGGCTGCGATACAGACAGGGAAGGTAGATATATATATATATATAGTCGACGTAGAATGGACTAAAGGAGGGGGGGGAGAAGGGTATAGAAGCGTATGAGCGTGTGGCTGCGATATAGATATTAATATATATATAATATATATAATATATATATATATAATATATAGGAGTCGACGTAGAATGGACTAGAGGAGAGAAGGGAAGGTTCCTTAGGGTAGGAGAGGGGGGGGGAGGCTAGGGAAAGGTGGCTACCTAAAAGGAAGTAAGGGATTAAGAGATAAAGTTTTTTCTGTGGTGGTTTTCATGCATTTTTGTTGTGTAGAGGACAGTACGCATTAATTTTTATTTTTTGTTAGTTTTTACTTATGGCCGGTCGGGTTAGACACATGTAAATAATAATTAATAATAAATATAATATATATAATAATATATAATATATATACATTATATATATATATATATATATTATATATGTGTGTGTGTGTGTGTGTGTGTGTGTGTGTGTGTGTGTGTGTGTGTGTGTGTGTGTTGTGTGTGATATATATATAATATATAATATATAATAATATATATATATATATATGTATGTATGTGTGTTGTGTGTGTGTGTGTGTGTGTGTGTGTGGTTGTGATAATATATATATATATATATATATATATATATATATATATTATATATATATATTATCGCCTGCTGGGGATTATCATAGTAAGAGCAAGTCTCACTAAGCGACCAAATTCGTCCGTCTCGCGCATGACGTCACACGGCGTAAAAGCCCGAGGGTTCGACGCTATTCGTGGGGTCATTCTTGGATGTGAGGTCGAGCCGGAAGGGTCTCCCTCTCTCCGTTTTCGCTTGCTTGACTGACTGACTGGCGCGCGCAAAGCCACAATAACAAGAGTTGTTCAGTGGTTGGTTGCAAAATTTGTGATCGCCAATCATCATTATATATGTGTGTGTGTGTATATATATATATGAAATCCATATATATATATATATATATATATATATATATATATATATATATTTCATAGATAAATTTAGAAATTTGCCGACGCACGGTAAGAAGCTAATGAGTGTTGATGTGGATTCTCTCTTCACTAATGTCTTGCTTGACGACGTGCTAGATTTTCTTGGTAGGAAACTTGGATGGGTATTCCGGTTAATTACTTTACTAATCATATCCGTTTGTGTGTCTTTATTTTTGACGGCGATTATTTAAAGCAAATTACTGGTATTGCAATGGAAAACAGTCTAAGCCTAGTTCTTGTGAATTTACCTTACCCCATCAAGGATGTTCAACAGAAAAATAGAAATATATACTCGAAATATTTATATATTGCAGTATAATTAAAGTAAATGCATAAAGTAACCTGTGGAAAAAGTAATATATAACATTGCATTTGATAATGGATTCTGTGTATGGGCTCTGACACATAAATAATGGTTGATTGAGACCACGCACAATATATAATCATTTCTATATCTAAAATGATGACAGAAAAGTAAATTAAATTTGGTATGAAACTAAATGCAAATGCCAATATGAAATGGTTCTCGCTCTATCAAATGCAGGTTTCTGCTTGTACAATGTATGTGTTAGTGTGTAAGGTCAACCTAGTGAATCGTGTTTGCACATGCTGAGTTAGCATGTTTGGTTTTTGTTTTTTGTTTTTTTAACCTGAAAACCCAGTGTAAATGTTGGACTATAGATTAACTCTTCGATCCTTTTATACAGTTTTTCACATAAGGCACTGCTTGAAATTAAAGTAGGTAAAGTCTTTGTTTGCCGTTTTACACAATTACTCCTGACACGATGCATTACTAATCGACTGATAAGCAGATGTAGAGCATTTCATTCATTGGGTATTGAAGTTCTTGCAACACCCAAAATATAATGGAAAAAATAACAAATTCATTTTCGTTTAAATCAAAAACAATAATCAATTATGGAAGTAATGGTAATCAATATCATCTTATCTGACTTTTATTTTCATTACACTAGTAGTATACAAAAAATAAATAAGAGA